AAACTTAACAACTTTTAAACGATATAAATCACAGCGATTCACAATCTCGATAACTTCGCTCTCGACGAGTGCAAACACACACTTTACGGCTCACTAGCTCGAAACTCAAAGTAACTACTGCTCTCTCTTCATATCTATCATCCCTGCTGGCTTTCTCTGCCAGGCTTATATACTAACAAAGAGGGCATCTCCAACACACTCGATCATTCGAGAAACTCATCACGACAGCAGCTTCACGTAACTTCCGCTGTCGTAACAAATGTAAAGTTGCACTTTGTGCACTAAAGTCGACAGCAGTGTTCTTCAGTGATTGGTCAGGTTATATCTCGAAGTTATAGCCTCCTTTATGTTTGAATGGGAATGACAAGTCACTTGGACAACGTTAGTTGTTCTGATTAAGTCTGATTTTACTAATTCAACTAACTTAGATGAGATTTAAAATGTCTTGAATATAATATTGAGTAAATAGGTCAATTTGGAAATAAATCTTGAGCTAGCCTGATCAATTCACAACTCCAGAAAAGCCAATTATCCAGCGTCCAACACAAGGGCAGTATTTGTTTTTTAATAAATTGTTCATTGCACTTTATATCTAGTCCATTTATTTCTAGCACAGAAATTACTATTCTCCGCAACTTATCTTGCCGGCAGGAAGCCTCCTATTATATAGTGTACCTATCTAAGTTACTTTTTCAGGAAATCAGTTTATGTAAAAATACCCCAATTATAAGTGTTTATTGTAGGTTTTATATCTTTACTTGGTTCGTTAGAGCACCGACAAATGTATTGTTACGACAGCGGGGGTCACGTAACTCTAGTAACACGTCATATTCTCGAAGGTTCGTGAATGCTCGATTGTTTACTAGATATGCGGTATTAATGTATATAAGACCGGTAAGAAGTGACGGCAACAATGGAATGTAGTTGAATTGCAGACAGAGATAGAGACGGACAGTTGGGTCGAGCGCGTGAGTGGTTCGTTGTGAATTATAGCGTTTGTTATAGCGTGACTGTGGAAATTAAGTGTATTGCAAAGTTGTATTCAGAAAGAATAAACTAGTTTTATTTAAGAAAGGACTTGTGTCGCTAAAGTTCCATCGGAAAGAAATTATACGGGAAATTAACTAACGACCAGAGACGTAACAGTATTATATCATTCATCAGTGTCAATTGCATTGGTTTTATAACTTTATTTTCTAGTTATCATTTGGCATTAATTAATTCCCATTTATGTAACAAAACATATATCACGGCCAGATGATTGAAGACCAGTTAATTCAGAGGTGTTCTAACTTATGTTTTTAGCTAGTGCACTTCATAAAATAATCTGTGAAGCTAAACAGACCGTAAAAAACACGAAAAGCTGGAAATCTAAGCAGATAAATAGCAAGCTGCAGGATCATTGTATATTTTCACAGTGGTCACAGTATTTTATCACTAGTTATTATTTCAAACGAAATTATGTTTACTATATGAAAAAGAAATAAACGGAATAAGTGACAAGACCATATCAAATCAGACGTAATTCTAAAAGATAAACGATAGAAATCCTGACAGTTATTTACAACAACAAAGGAAAATAACACTGAAATAGCTGTAATCATAATACTCTATGGATCAAAAACTCAAGCAGTGACAAAATTTGACGAACACTCTGTCATCCTCTCAGCTGAATAACCTACAAATTATATTCTATTTTGTATTCTTCCGCCTGAACAGCATTAATAAATGGAGTTGTTTAGTTTATCAAAATTTTAAACAGTTATAAAAAACGATTTAAAAATATGCAATTATTTTCTGAGATATATGAAAAGCTTAAGCTTCTTTAAGATAATAGGGAATTATATTCTTATATGTAGCAATACATAGGAGTTTTAGTATGTCACTTAACAGCGCGATGGAAGTGTAGTTTTTACGGTCATGCTTCTCTGTAGTAAGACTCTTACTACGTGAAGTGCCCGAGATGGCATTACGAGTGTAGGATTATGTAGTGGTAACTATGTTTAGCTAATTTATTCGGTATTGTACTTTTCATGGAAACAATGGAGTGGGATTTCAAACCTCCACCAGAAGCTCCAGTTTTTGAGCCTACAGTAGAAGAATTTAAGGACCCTCTTGCTTATATAGCAAAAATAAAGTCTATCGCTGAAAAAGCAGGAATCTGCAAAATAAAGCCACCACCGGTTGGTATTCGTACTCTTTTCTATAATATTTTTTTATAGGTTCAGCTGACTAGTTGTAGCACTTAACGTAGGCTATCTCAGGTTTCAGTCTTACTTCGTTTGAGTCTTGTCTACTGGAGTTTGTATTCTTAAAGACTTTTTCCGATTGATTAAACTTACCTAACGAACGGACTTTGACCTCTTTTTTTTTGCCTGCTGTGTTCCCTTTGGATAAAATATGTGATGATTTTATATTACACAAACAAGAGTCTCAATGCCATTTATCTAAGAAAACTACTCGTTTTCTACGATAAATTTAGTTTCAAGATAAAAATCAAGACTTTCTAAAGTTGTGAACAAAATGGCGACGTTATTGTTGACGTAGGAGATTTAAATCCCATCTACTGGAAATCGTATTATCAATTTCATACAAATCAAATGATTTGTATACTTAAACACTAATATGCAGTGGTAACGTTATTTGATTTTTCTTTTGTGAGTGTTTGTTAACATAAAAGTTTACAAGACAGCTTTATATCACAAACTTGACAAAGACTCGCAAAGTTATTTCTTCACCTCATGAAGTGTAGGGTGTAACCTCTTCAGTAATATGTCGTTGGCACTTTGTTTAGCAGGAAAAACTATAAGTGTTTTTTATAAAACAACAACAAATACTAGCATGTTTTTAAGATAACTTGTTTTAAACTGCTTGTAAGCATAGATTTGAGCAATAAGTGGTATTTGTTTAAAACATATGTGTTGGTATTGAAATGGGTTCCTTTCTTATGTGTTTGGCCATACTGCTGCTTATTCCAACTAAATTATTGCTGCATAAATATTGTTTCTTAAAGCTCAACATTTTAAATTATGATGTAGAAGTTTCTAATGAACATTAGCAAGTTCTGTTGTGTGGTAAGAGAGAGAGCATACCATACTTTTATATCTATATGTACATACATGATACAGTTAGAAGGGCAGGGAAAAATTCAAGAATGGAGTAGTTGAGGAAGACAATATGGCTGCCTCTCATCACACTCATCAGAAGTCAGTTTTAGTAGCATGGCTGACAATGAGTAGGCTAGGTGAAATTAAATCAGATTATAAAATTTTTGTCCCAGTGAGATGATTTTTTTTAGATTTTATTTTTCTTTAAACTGAGTATATATAATGAAAATATTCAGCAACTATTTCTAAGTTTTAGAATATGTTAATGGCAAGTTTTAACCAGTATATGGTATTAACTTTTCTTATGCCAAATAAACATTGTCTAATTCTTGAATGTGGTTTTAAATTCAGACATTTGCAGTTGATGCTGCTAATATATTAATTTCTATGGGGTTATGAGACCTTATAAAAGAAGTTTTTTGTGTTAATATAAAAAATTAATTATTTTTGTGATCAAATGTAAAAAAAAATATTGTTTAGGTTTTTATGGATGGTGTAGGATAAAACTTGTGTGAAAATAATGGTATTCAATGGCACAGGAAATGAAGAATAGTAAGATATAGATTAGTAATATTTTGATGTATATATGACCTTCTGCAGTGCATTAAATTAGTTAACTTATATAGTACTTGAAATTTGAATAATTATAGTTAGTTCTGTATGTTTAATAATCTTTTATATTTCTTTTCATCATTGTGAAAATATATCTCTATTGGTGTTTAAAATGTATTGTATAAGCACATTTTATGGTTTAGGTTTTGATGAGCTTGTATAAATCATCCAAGTAATAGAGCTTAATTGAAAAAAAAAAACACATTATCTCTCTCTATCATGAAGATTTACAAACACGGGTAATTACGTTTTGCTAACAAAAAGCTTTCATTCCATAGAAATTGTTAGTTTACTAAACATGCCTATTGTTAATATAGACTATTTTGATAGAAATGGAACCCTAAAAGAAGATACACAAATATTTGTGTAATGCTTTTTGTGTACAAAACCTTAACTTGTATGATTATACTAAAGAAAGATACATTGCAAGATTATCTGAGTTACAATTAAAGTAATTAAAATTGCTTCTGACATAATAAAATATTAGTTGCACATAGAATTCCTGTTGTGGTAATTATTAATTTCAGTTTCAAGTATTTTTTTTTTCCTAATCTCACTAAAGATGTTTTTTGTATCTTGTTAAATTACATAGGAATAAATCAAGAGAGATGCTTAAAAACCATGTTTTATGGGCAACAGGACATTAATCATACAAGCACTAATGCTATCTGTTATGTACAGTAGTAGTACAAGCAGCAAACCTAGTCACTTTCATTTGTTTTAAAAGGCTGTTTAACCCAAATCATCATAATCTAATATTCATGAGATGAAGAAAAAATTAATTTAAAGTGAAGTACAAATTTGATTATTCTTGTATGTTGAAAGCTGTTTTTTTCTTTCTTTCTATGTAACTACACAAAGTTTTTATAAGTTTAGTTGATGCCTTAAACTTAAGTTCTACATTTCGTTCATGTAATTAAACTAAGAATAAAATAAATATTTTTGGGTTGTGTTTAAATAATCATTCCAACTAAAAACAATTTGTTCATACATCTTAACTACAAAGATATCAGGGATTTAAAACTAAAGCTACAATGTATATGCTGTTCATGTATGCTTTCTGAATTTTTTTATGAGGAATTACTGAATCTCTTTCTCCTAAAAACTATGTAATTTGTTGGTAGTGCTTGTGTAGAACTAGATTGCATTAAAGAAAATATATACATTATTATTTAACATATTTTTTTATTTAAAGGAAGTGGTTTTGCAAGCACTTCAAGGAATCATTTGTGCTTGTTCCATTTCCAAAAGGTAAAAGACTGGCACCTCCCATGGATGTCACCTTCCTTTGATTACTGGTACAACAAATCCAAGCTAAATGTATTACCTGTATCCATTTACTTATCCACCAAAAGTTTAAATTTATTGAAGTTACAGCACACAATATATTATTGGACAAACAATTATATAGGTTTATAAAAGAAAGTTCCATTGTCCCCCCCCCCCCCCCACTACAGACAGACAGAAAAACCTGGGTCTGGGCTTTGAAAACTATGCTTATTACCCTAAATATTTAATATTTCTCCTTTCAAAACTAGATATCATTCTGACAGTCTGTTTCTGCACTCTTTCTATCCTATAGTAAGATGGAAACTTTATATACAAGTAATAGCCAAAATAAGGTATTGCTGAAATTGTAAAAGTTTTGGGAATCGTAGTTATAAATCAAAAATTTGTGTAGAGATACACTAGAACTATAATACGTCTCTTCAACACAACCTGGCTGGGCATGGGCAGGTGGTTAGGTGCGCTCGACTCGCAATATGCGGGTTCGATTCCCTGTCACACCAAACATGCTTGCCCTTTCAGGCGTGGGGACGTTATAATGTTACGGTCAATCCCACTAATCATTGGTAAAAGAGTAGCCCAAGAGTTGGTGGTGGGTGGTGATGACTAGCTGCCTTCCCTCTAGTCTTATACTGCTAAATTAGGGACGGCTAGTGCAGATAGTCCTTGTGTAGCTTTGTGCGAAATACAAAAACAAACAAACAGTCAACACAACCAGTCACTTAGCTGTGGGTTTTAAGGATTTTATCAGTAATACATTTCATTCAGATTTTTTTGTCATCAACCAGTCTTCTCTTCTACTAAATTCTTTATGAATTTACATACTACTTATGTCTTTCATATCACAAAAAATTCCATTTATTACCACCATCTGATTTTAATACCAGGTTTGTTTTCTATTCACATTTTAAAACGTTTTTCATTTATCTGGCTAATTAACTTTTTTAAGTATTTGTGTGGCATTTTCTCAAAGGCTTTCTGAAAGTCAAGTTTTACTGGCTGTTCCTTAGCTAAAAATTTGATAAAGTCTAATAGGTTGTTTAGATAAAAAATGCAAAAAATGTCAGATTATTGCCACTAAACATCTCAGCAGCCAAGCTGTTTCTTTCATTTGCAACTCTTAACTCAAATTTACCATCCATTACCAATTTATCCAACCCCTAACATTTAATACCAACTTTCATTATGTTTTTCAAAACAATCTCTAATAACACAGTCCACTACAGTGACCCTTGATTTGTTCCAATGGTCTAAAGATCATTAAAAGTGAAAATGAAACAGTTCTTGTTTTATTTATGAGGATAGTGGTAAGGTAGGCAATACAGAAATGAGTAAGTGTTAGATATGGAAGATGTGCATGGTTCAAATAGCATCTGTTCCAAAAATTAGATGATTCAGTGCTTCATTTTCTCCTGCTGCCAAGGTGTCATGGATATGTTTGTCTTACAGTATATGCATAGTTTGTACAGTATATATGAACATATGTTATATGTAATGCTTGGAGACAGCTTGAATGGGTAATGAAGAAAAACTTTAATATAAGTTTAACATAACAGCAAATGTACAATGTTTGGACAAGGTTTTGTCATCATCGGGTACAAGTAGTTTACACTGACATAGATATATACAGTATTGAACAAAGAGGTTACATGACCGGATACTGTTGCAAAACTTAGAAAAGGTATCTTGGCACCCCAGGGTGTTGGTTTAGAGTAGGGTTGTTTTTTTCAATTAAGATGGATTCCTTGATTTTTTGTTTGTTTATGTTGGGTTCTTTGTTTAAAATGACTGTGTTTTTAACAGACATACTATGGTTTTCTGAGTTTCAATGGTGAAAAACATGGGACGGTGTTTTATTGTTTTCTGTCAATCTAATTTCCAATTTTCTTCCTGTTTCTCCAATGTTGAATTCTGGGCAGTTATTGCATGTTATTTTGTAAATGTTGTTGGTATTGTGTAATTCTAAGTAATTTGTGTTTAGTAACGATTTTAATTTAGGGCCAGGTTTTTGTGAGAATTTTACGTTGACAGGAATATTGTGTTTAATGGCTAGTTTTGTCCAAGTGTGGAAAATTCTTGAGCTGGTTTCAGGAACAAAACGTAAACTGCAGTGTAATGTTCTGTTGTTGGGTTTGGCAGTATCAATTTTGTTCGTGAGTTGAGTTTTGTTGTGGGGA